CCATAAACATGTTGATTTGCATTTGTCTGTTCTTACGTGAATATTTTAGAGAGGGAAGAATCATGTCCCATATTACTATATAATCATTCTAGTGGCTTTCTGCAGAGAAGTTCCAGAACTGTCCATTCTTCACTACTCTTTCCCCCCTTTCTCTGAGTATCCATGTAGGCTTAGGAGTAGTGGTACTTCAGAAATGTTTCTCTGCGCTTTTTGAGTGCTGGATGTCAAACAGTTGCTTTGGTGTTGGCAGCCTGTTTTCCTCCATTCATTCCTGCCACTCTCTGAACTGCTGAGTAAATTCTGTGGAAGTTTTCCCTTAGAAAAAATACCACATGCTGTTGGGTTAGCATGAGGGTTTCAATAGTGAGAAATTTCTTGATGAGGTTACCTGAAGTTTTATTTTCTACAGAAGCTAGAATATTAGGCTGCCTTTTAAATACTGTGTTAGTAATTAGAGTGAGGTCATCTGGTATTTTAAAACTGTGCATTAGAAATTATGTGGGAATTTTCATAAGCAATTTTTTCCCTATAAAAACAATACACCCTGGTCTGGAGAGTGCAAAAGCCTCTGTCATTCTCAGTATTTCAGTACCATTACTTTCACAGTTGCTTAATTGCAGAATGCAAACATGGAACACTGCATTTCATTTTTTATGCAGCTGTCTTTGAATTTTTTCAGTTAAAAAAAAGGTTTAATTTCAAAACATTATGGGCAAAATGTAGATCCCACTAAAATTAATGAGGCCTGTACAACAGCAGGGTTTTAAAAATCGATTACATCTATTAAAAAACCTGTAAGAACAACAAACCTTCTGCTGAAGTCCTGACTCCTCTCATTGTTCTACACTTGCTAGTGCTTTGTATATTCTCTATATTCCTTGTCTTGTTTTTTGAGTAGTATCTGGATAGTTCTACTTTACTTTTGTAGCCTCTCTAATGGATCTCTTACTAATGTACTAGTGAGCAAGCCTTACAGCAATTCAGCTAAATTAAAGCATTGTAATGATTTGACACTCAGCTTTACTTTCCCCCCCAAAATAACTACTCAGCGGGTAGCTTTTAAGAAATTAACTTGTATATAATGAATGCCATGAATATGCTTTAGGCTCCCTTTCTTTTGCTATTGTGGGAATCTATTGAAGTGTATCAGCCCCGTAGCTAGGGAATTCTTTGAGAGGGGGCCTCGGGGGGCCCACCAGCTAATTAAATGAAAGTACAGTGCAGGTGGTAAGTTGGAGCACTTTGGGGGTCAACCCAGGAGGGAGGGGCCCCAGAAAAAACACTAGGGGGCCAGGCCCCATGGGCCCCATGTTAGCTACGGGCCAGAGTGTAATCATCTCTTCAGTTAAAAAAAAGATAGGAATTAAAACACAGAGCAGTTTTGCATTGGGACTTCAATAATTCCCCCTTCAGTCTTAGTATCCTAACACTGCAGTGTTTCTGTTCTCATGATAAGCATAAATGATGAAGCACGAGGACAAAAGGACAACAAACTGCAAACACAGTTGTATATATTTATAATTTCCCTATTGTCAGACACACAATGGAACTCATTAAAAGTGAAATTCTGTAACATGGTTAGCAGACAAAGTGGCTGAGTATCATTCCTAGTGAGCACTGTTTGGTGTAGTGGTTAAGTGTGTGGACTCTAATCTGGGAGAACCGGGTTTGATTCCCCACTCCTCCACTTCCACCTGCTGATGTGACCTTGGGTCAGTCACAAGCTCTGGCACAGCTGTCCTTGGAAAAAGAGCAGTTTGTGTCAGAGTTCTCTCAGCCCCACCCACCTCACAGGGTGTCTGTTGTGGGGAGGGGAAGGGAAAGGCATTTGTAAGCCGCTCTGAGACTCCAAGTGAAGGGCGGGATATAAATCCAATCTCTTCTCTTCTTCTTCTGCTTAATGCAGATTTCCAAATATTTAAAAGGGCTTTAGGAGATCTTTGCTATCTTCACTAGAATTTTATTCCCTGTGAAGTTTCTTATGTACTTATTCTGCAGGTATACCAACTTGACAAGCTAAAATTCAAGTTAATAAATACCTCTTGATTTATAGATGCGAGCTTTTAGACAGCCTGTAACTGGCTTTGTTTTAAATACCAATGACATGCCCTTGCTCTGGCACAAAAGTAATATGTGTGTGTAAAGAGTGCCCAAACCAGAATAGGATGAGAGATTAAAAAAATGTCATGCCTGAAAAGTAATGTGGAAGTTCAGTTTGAAGGAGAAAGCAGCAGGGAGGAGAAGGATGATTTAACCCTTTTCTCACTTGCCACTTTCTCCAGGGCACCCCAGGGCAGAGAATAGCAGTTAATGAAGGAAGGTAACCTGAATTCCTTGATCAGCTTGAAGCTAAAGTTATAGTTTGGCTCTTAATATCAAGAGAGTAAAAAGAAAGTTGCAGTGCTAATTTCTTTTGTTTAGTGTACTTCTATACAATTTGCTATTTGTAGTTAGTGTACTGAAGAAATTGAGAGGACACTGGGCTGTGTTTATGTGACACAGGAATATTCAGGAGTATGTAACTTGTATACAGTATACAGGAGTGTGTAACTTGTATGTTACATGCCATGGTGGTACTCCTCTATCTGCATTTCAAGTTTTTCTGCTAAGACAGGATTGTACAAATAAAGTAGGAGGCCAGCCAGGATCATGGTAAAACCAATTATAGCATTGGAAGCTACATTGTGTCCATGTTAGTGTACTTCTCATGGCATCCCATCCTCCCTCCATTGCTTCTGTATTCCTGTGTTACTGAAGCAATCTTGGGACCAAGTCACTGGGAAGTAGCAGTCACACTGCTTCCCAATACAAGTATTGATTTATTTACATTATTCATTTATACCGCACCTTCTGCACAATGGTTTCCCAAAGCAGCTAACATCATTTTCCTTTCCTCCAAGGTTAGACTAAGAATGGCTGAGTGGCCTGAGGTCACCTAGCAAGCTTCTATGGCAGAGTGGGATTGAAACCTGGTTCTCCCAGATCCCACTGAACATGCCCCAAATCTTTCTGCTTTGAGAGGATCAATACATGTGCTTGTTCCAAGAGAAATTTATAGACGGCTTGCCCAGTACATGAAGCAGACTGTTTAGTCTCCACTTAAAAACTTGTGCTTTGAGTCCAAAACATCCAGAACATTTGGATGTTCTGAGACTCCTGCCTCCAACTGAAGATCACTTCTGTGAATGTGCAGGGGAGGCAGGAACACAGATTTAGCATTACACTTATTTTCCATTTGTGCTTTTTAAATTCATGTTTTACACTAGTTTATTAGAATACTAGGGTTTTGTATCCCACATGTATTTCAATGGCTCTTCAATAATGGTTTATAACTGTTGCTATTGAAAACAAAATGTTAACTTATCTTTTATTTAGATTTTGTTTTATTCTTTATCAATAATTTTAATAAAATATTAATTAAAACCATATTAGATCTATATTTTAAAATGAAATATTTGCAGATGTTGTACAGGGAAGACCTGAATTTGAAATTGATCTTCAAATGCTCACACCTTTCTAAATAATTGCTAATCTTTTATGTTAATAAGCTTGCTTGGGGGTGGGGGCTCCCCTATCAACCTGTCTTGTGGTTTTTTATGTGGAGTTCGTGCCTTCATTGCATATTTGTTAGCTTTTCCCTTGATAAGGCTGTGTAATGAAGCCACTTGTTTGAGAGTCTGTAACATCCCTCAGAAAGTGTTACAAGTCTGTGTGATAGTGGATTTCCTGCTTTTGTTGTAGCAAAACTAGTTGTGATAACTTTGTGAAACTGCAGAATATCAAATTTTCAATTGTGCTTAATTTTATTTGTAGAGCCAGAATGAAGACTGGGGAGGTTTGTCTGAGGATATCTTATGATTAAGGCAATCTAAAGCCTTAGCCTTTTGATCCCCATCCATACGATTGGTAACTACCAAATCTACCATTTTGGTGGCATGGATTACATGGGTGCTTTGCAGAGAGGAGTTTTGCACGTGTCAATGAAGCCCTTGCCTGAAAAGTAAACGGGGGAGCACAAAAGTGACTGGTGATGGGCTTAACTCTCTGCAACGTTTGCATGACAGTATTGAAGTGTGTGTTGGGTGCTGTGTCTTCTTTTCCTTTTCATACTAACAGCATCAGTTGAATTGTGTGATGTATGGTATTTGTTCAGTGGTGTTAATTTGTAGGTTAATAGAATTTATAAGATTTCTAGGCAGATGTTTGATCTTAATTGTTAAAACATGCTGAAATATTTCCTGGAATGTCTGATATGAAAATTGCATAGGCCTTGTACAGAAATGATTCTGCTGTAGTTTACTGTAGTTGATGCCAAATTCTGTGTAATAAAAAAAGTCTAACTTGTATATATAATTTATTACAACATACTTTCTGTGCAGCGTTACATAAAAAAGGTAAGTGTGTGACTGTTTAATTAGAAAGTGTTCTTGATGAACACACAAATAGAGAGGAGCTATCAATACTTTTTGTAGCTAAATTATACATTAGGTAATGTACTATAGCAGCATAGTACCTTTTCTCTTTTCTGTAAGGATCTTGTTACAGGCTAAAGGCTGAACTTCTAATCTAAAGTAATGTACTACATTAGTCACGTTTGCGTCTCCCTTTCCTGGAGATATGGATGGCTATAAATCTTTGATACAACTGGGTTTTATTAGTTGGATTTATTTACTTGCAATTTTTTAAAACATTAATTAGCAGGGGAGGATAATCAATTATGTATCTGAAAAATGATTTGGGGTTAGATTGTGCAACCTATCAGCAAAAGGCATGGGAAAGGTTCCCATCTTCCTAAAAGTCCTTTCTGTTCCCAGGAAAACTGATTCTTTTAGTTGTTTGCAGGACCCATGTAGTTATATAGGTTGGGCAGGGGGGTGTTGAGGAGCAGACAGGGGGCCAAATCATCTTCATGCCTCTTGTATCAATGATGCTAATGCTTGTAGGAAGAGAGAGGAGGGGTGATTTTTGACTCCTTTGCACCTCCTCAGTGCAGACTCCTAAACTATGTAGTGAGGACTTTTTGGGGGGGAGGGAGAAGGTACCAGAACTCTCAAGAGGGAAATGAAGTTTTCAATCTGTATACTGGAAACTCATGAACTTTTAAACATTTTTAAAAGAATTTTGCTGAAGAGGTTTGAGAACTCCATTCTGGCATGTTCCCCCAGAAAAAAAATCCCTGTATGTAGCTATTAGTCCCTATGGGTCCCGTGAACCCAGGAATCACCTTTCCTACGGACAGAAGGTTCTTCTGTGGGGGGAAATGTGGAATAGTTCCCCTGATCCTTGTGTCAATGGATTGCAGGATCCAATTCATTTATTAAAATGAAGTAATGCTTTAACACAACCCAATGTGATCATATTGAAATGTAATTATCATATTGAAATGTAATTATCTTTTAAAACTTAATCTATACTGTTCAGTCAAACATACTGAGATAAAGCCTGAATTTTTAAAAGAAAGAACCATGGGGATTAAAGTATATCACTGTGGGTTATATATTGCTGTGGCATGTTTTGGATGTTTATGACTGTCAACCAAAATAGCTTGGTCAGCTAGAGTCAACTGAAAATAAGCAATATGGAGTCCCATTCAAAGGTTGGAGTGTTTATGTAAGAATTCCAAAGGGATTATGCATCAATAAGTTGGGAGTACTAGTATTCTCCCAAACTGGCCCCCACTCTCTTTTATAGCTCTTTCTACCCCCATTCCATTTCCCACAGTTCCTCAGTCTTAATACTGATTACTGAATGTCCCTTTAAAAGTTCTTGTATAAACATTCCACTAGTTGATTTTGCTGTATAGCCAGCATTCTCACAAGTATCTGCCTATGGAAGAAAAGCTGCAACTGGATTTTCTTTCTGTAAAGACTAGACAACACTTGTATAATTGTTACTTAATTTGAGGTTTTTCATTTTAAATTACATGGATGTGTTTTATGTACTGTACTAGGAAAAAGCCCCGTTGTGGAAATAAATACAACAAGCCTAGAAAGAGGCTCTGGGCAGGTGCCCCGGCCTTGGGCACTCAGTGTCAATTTGTTGTGGCGACCTCAGCAGGGTATAATGACACTGAGTCCACCATTTTCTCTCTGCTAACTAAAGAACAGTTGTAATTTTGACTGATCTCCAGCCGTCACCTGGATATTTTACAACAAACAGGACCACGGTGTGTAATAGCCAGTGAAACAGTAAATCACCGTGAGTGTTTCACTGGTCACCTGGATATTGGCAATGATGGTTCCCCAAAAGGGAATGGTTGGTTTGGAGGGTGGAGTCTATGACTTTGTACCTGTCCGAGGTCCCACGCCTCCTGAAACCTCACCCTCTCCAGGCTCCATCCCTCACATCTCCAGGAATTTCCCACCTGGAGTTGGCAACCCTATCTCCTTCCCAACCAATTATCAACCTACTTTTATTTCCCCCTCACTCTTCAGCTTTCCACCCCCCACACACCTGGAGCCTCTACCATGCTCTGAAGCCCTGACTGCTATGTCATATTGGCTGTCATAAGGGGGGCCACCTCAGCAGCATATAGGATACAGAGCCCACCATTTTCTCCAGGGGAACTGATCTCTGCCATCTGGAAAGCAGTTGTAATTCTGAGTGATCTCCAGCCCTCACTTGGAGATTGGACACATTTTACCTCAGGACAGCAAACTGTTTAGAATGTTAGAGGCAAAAGCCAATCAAATTGCATATGCAAACAACCTCTGTGTTCCAAGGCAAAGGCCAATGAGGCTGCATATGCAAATAACCTCTGTGTTCTGACTGCCTACTGGGGGGGGGAGGAACAGCAAACTGTTTAGAATGTTGCAGGCGAGACTCAAGCAATGCAGCCAGTGGATAGGGACAGATTCTGAGTGACACACCAGGGCACCAAACAATTCCGGAGCGTGTTCTAGAGAAGTGCCACCACCATTCGGCTTTTATATATAAGGGACATTTGTATCCCATGTTTCTTTTCTGTGGTCCAGGTTTGCTATTTTATCCACTATAACCAATTGGTATATTTTCCCCTCTGCTTCACAGTTTCTACAAAATGAATCAAGGCTGCTTGTCAGTCCATAAAATATGATTGCTAATGAGATCTAACAAGATGGGGACTGTGACGTGCAGGGGAGGAAAATCCCATTCTTCCATACTGTCCCCTACTCTGTCTTTCCAGCCCTTTTTCTCTCATCCCAGGTGTTTCTGCCTCTATCCTGTTTTTCATATTCTGTCTTCCCAGCCCTTTCTTCACTTTCTCCTTCTGCTTGCCACTTTCTCTCCCTCCCACTATTTTTTCTTTCTCTTAACCTGCAGTCATTCCAGGGCTGCTTAGACATGTAAAATTTCTAGAAATCTTGAAGCCATGGGGGAAAAACATTTTTTTAAAAAATGGAAATTTGGGGGGGGGGTAATGTATATGTGATAGTTACTTTCCTGTCAAACCTAAACTTTTATTGATTGAACAACATAAAATGCATCATTTATAACTTAGCTAGGACATATATATGGTATTTAAAAGTGGAAATTGTCTCATAGAGTCACATGAAGTAGGGCTGCCAGCATGTTTGGATATTAAGCTAAACTTTAGAACAGTTGTTCCCTACCTTTTTGAGTTTGAGGGCCCTTTTTTAAACATCAGACCCAGGGCTCTTTTTGTAGAAAAAGCCCAGCAGGAACTCAGTAGCATAATAGGCCACACCCAACAGCAGGAACTCATTAGCATATTGGGCCACACCCCTGACAGCACAGCTCATTAGCACATTAGGCCGCACCCACATGTGGTTATCCACTTTTGCTTGTTATTCTGTTTACCTTGTTTGTTGTCAAAACCCAGGGCCTTTTTTGTAGCAGGAACTCCTTTGCATGTTAGGCCACACACCCCTAATGTAGCCAATCCTAATGAGTTTCTGCTGTTGGGTGTGGCCTATTATGCTAATGAGTTCCTGCTGGGCATGGCCAACTTGGGAGCCAGCCGGAACTCCGTTCCTGCCCAAAAATAGCCCTGATCAGACCATTTTGTAACACCCCCCCCGGTGTGATAATAGTTGTACTATTAATACATCCATTTATTGAGAAAATACATACTGATAAAAAGATAATGCATAATGTGCATATGGATTTGCAGACCCACTGAAAGAACTCTGTTGCATTTTTTTTCAGTGCTCTCCAAAATTTCCCAGTTTTCCTCTTGGAAAAATTTAGACTTTCCTGAAACCTTTTTATGTGGTACTTGGGGAATCTGGGCCAATGGCCTTTCCTAGCTTGGCCCTTCCCTGCCCTGCCCTGCTGTCCCCTGAGGTTTTAAGAGGCTGCTCTGCCTGCTTGCACAGGTCCTAGGAGGCCCCAGCTGCTGCTGGCTTCCTCCTGTGCCCTGTTCCCAGTGGCAGTCTGCTGCCTTAGCCTGCTAGTATTCTGAGGCTGCTGGTGGTGCATTTCTGGGCATGGCCTCCCCCTTACTCCCTTCCCCGCCTCCTCTGGCTGGGCTGCCTGTGTCCTGACAGTGTCCCTTCTGGAGGAGGTGAGTGTGGGGGTGGGGCCACCCCCTCCAGACACTATACTTTAAAGTTTAGTGCCTCAGTTGCTAGCAAACTCCACTGTGCTGATTGTGGCATTTTACCTCAACCCCCATAGTTTTCATTAATTTTGATGGCTTTTTTCCTCCAAGCCCACAGGTTCTTCTAGGTTAGCAGACAGCTTGGCCTAGTTATAGTGTCCTGCATTCAATGTTTGAGAACAGCAAGACATAAAGAAATATCACACACACATTTTTTGAAAAAAATGCAAATTTGCATATTATTAACATTAAGTGAGACTGCCAAAAATAAAAACAAAAGGGGTAAAAACAGATATTGCTAATGATATTTATTTGTCTGAGTAAATATCTAGTCAAAGCGTGGACAAAAATATGTAAACCAATT